AGAACTGCTGAAGATTGAGACAGAGCGCTGCTGGGAGTGTCCCGAGTGTGAGATGTCGATTCTTATTTCAACATTCAGCTCGCCGCGGGCTGTGATTCCCATGCCTTCCCATAGCACAGTATAACACTGTCGTCTGGAAAGACGGAAAGGTGCCAACAGATACATACATATTGTTTTATAGACCAGTTGGATTTCGATGAATTATGTGGTTAACAACAGGCCGGCTGATTTTATTTTCCAGTACCCATCTTAAGCTGAACGGAGAGCCAATGTTAATTCTGAAGAAAATCCGACTCGATGCAGATTCGAACTCAATACGTTCTGGTCGGCAGGCGGGCGCTAGCACTGCGATACTTCAGCTCCCGACATAGCACGTTGCTAGTCTTTAAAAACAAAAAAAAATTGCTCAGTGAGAAACCTGTATGCAATGAAATGGTATACATAAAGCTTTTTATCATAGAAATTAGCGCAGATAACTGTCAAGGGAAACAATCGATGAACTGGATTTTTTTTTCCCCGTAGCCATAACGTTTTAGAGTGAAAGCAAACCAGTAAACTGGGTTAAATATTGTGTGTCAAATGGCGTTGGCGTTCGTATCTCTCCACATATTTCATTCTTTAATATTCTGCAGCTCGGCAAGATGCTTACCCGAGTCATTAATCGGATTCCCCTTGTGTGGGTCCTGGAGTCTATTTTGGGGAACAAAGTATAGACCAACAAGCCTGCCATAAAAAGCGACTAAATTATTAGCGTGGTGAAATCGGATATATTAGCACATATATTGTAACATAGCTTTGAACTAAAACACTAGTTGATAACTGTTCTTTTAAGGACGAACGCAGAAGAAGAATTCAAATGAAATGGACGACTAAGTTCAGCATTTAGGGACTGACTGACTTTCTACCCCACCAGGACATCACACAAGCGATAAACACCCGATGACACAAAGTGCCACCATGTGGATGAGGATCACCGTGGAGATGTGCAAGAAACCGCGTTCAGCCTTTAGGCGATATTTACGGCCAGGCTATATTGCGGCCCCTGGCAAAGGCCAGAGTAGGGCTTCAAATAACGAAAAATGTCGTCCTAAAAAGGACGAGAAGTATGTATCTAATTCTTAGTGCCTCTAGGGATATTGAGGTTCAGAGGAACGACGTCATCTTCTAACACGAGCCGACAGTTCACAATTCACGCATATGAGAGTTTAGATTGAGGAATCTTAGGATGATACGCTCCTGCCTCATCCTGGCATAGTGGATCTGATGCTTCAGCCGTCTCGGATTAATTTAAACACTGTTTTTTAATCTCATAATTTGTTGTTGCTGTTGTTGTTGATGATTCGGATAATGTTAAAACATTGTTTTTAAATCTTAAAATATTTGTATTGGTTAATGATTCGTATCATTTTATCCGTCGATACAGATTTCGGTCAAAACGTTTGACTGAAGCAGCTACGAACAAAAAATTACACAACTGTCTGCCGCCATTTAATTGGAAGACTGCTGGCTCTACAGCGTTCACCAGTGGTAATGATTTGTTTCAGTTTCGTGCCAGGATATGTGGAGATTAAAATAAATGAGCAAGCTGATAGACTTGCAGGTGAGGCTACTGTGGAACCCGGACAAGCCATGGACCAGGCTGATATACTGAATGCCCTAAGAGAGTTAAGACGTTTGCGTGAACCACTAGAGAACTGTAATTCTGCAACCATGGTCATACTGCAAGAATAGCAAGTTGAACGGGGTGTCGCCAAACGCGGGTAGCCAAAGAAGAAGAATAAACCAACACAGAACTGGTGTCGTCAGCCGCTACAAACTGCGGGATTTACTGGGGCTCCGAGAACTTATGGACTGAGTGGTTCGACGTGTAATGGGGATAATCTGTCGACTAACTTACTAGCTAACTATCTTTTATACCCCCCCCCCCCCCACCCCCCACAACATTAAATATCGCGATGTATTTGGCACACCCGGAGGAATAGGAACGGTGATTCACCAAACAGGCATTTATAAATAGAATACAAATTGATAAAAAGTAAAGTAAAGCCGAAAAATGTGAACCAGCGTCATTGTACACGGTTATAAACTATAAGTCCTCTGCCACCAGTACGAACAGCTGATAAGAAACTATCCGCCTGTGTCGCTACAGCGACGTTCCTCTATTTACCCCAGATTGTTACCTCTGGTACCCATTTCCTAGGTGAACCCCGGGAAATCGTTCGGTTTCAAACACCGGCCGTGTGCTGCATCCGCTGAATTTGAAAGCGAGTCTCCTTTCGATTGCGCTAACGGGGCTTATGTGAAGCAAATTGATGCAGGAAACGAAGACTTCCACAAGAAACCCTAAAATGAACGTTACTGCGATCAGCCAAAGGTGCTGGGCTGGATTGGATCTATGATATTAAAACAACTGCAGTGATAGAGCAGAATGGAGGAATAAACCACTCTATGTGGCCTATATAGTAAGGAAAGGGCCCTTTTCTGCGCCTTTGCCCATGTTGGGCATATATGTCTAGACCAATCGAAACTCGGTAATGAGGTCAACATCAGGTCGGCCGCCTCCACTTCCTAGGACTTTACCTGGTACCTGTTTTAAGGTGGGTCGATCCGTTTGCCAATATAATTTTGACAAAAAGGTGGGCTCCGTCAGGGCCTGAACCAATAACCTTTGGACTCACAGGCGAGCGTCTAGCCACTACACCACGGTGGCTCCCTTTGAAACATTTAAAAGGATGAAATTGAAGATTCTCGAAGGACTGAAGATTCAAGAAGGACATACAAAGAGGAAGAAGATCGAAAGAGAGACAAAGAGTGCAAGGTGAAGGTCGTACGACGATGTTAATCTTAAAGAGAAACGTTACCATTGAAGAAAATACACTCGATAATGGGAACGAGATAAAAGGTTTTGATCAAAGAACAATCCACAAATTACCATCAAGGGCAACGATAAACTGACTACTGCTGTTTCGCAATACTACGTTTGTCTGATTCGATCCGTCCCTGGGAGCTTTGCTATCTCATCACAAAAGAAATTAGGATTTCAAAGCAAGCTTTATTCTCTTGAGACAGTTGCAACATAATGTCTCGCTTTGATTGTTTGTTTCGTTGTCCTGTTTCGATGCATTTTCCCGCTCAACCTTGGACGTCGTCTTTGCAATGAACGCGCCCTCGATAAATTACTCTCCTACTTTGAGATGTTTTGATTTTCATATAATTAGGTTGTGCATTTCGGGGAAAAGATGTTTAGCACACACAAACACAAAACCCACCAACACACACACACACGCAAACACAAAACCAACCAACACACACACACACACAAACACACACACACATACAAAGAGAGAGAGAGAGAGAGAGAGAGAGAGAGAGCTAAAAAGGGTTGACGAAAAACCATCAAGTGATGAACGCGACCACGCCCCTCAACAGCGGGCAATCTCCAACAGCATTCATCAGCGAGTGCTGACGCCCCCTCCATGCAGGGCCGGACGAAGACCATCTGATGCCTTAAGTCAAGGCTGTTCAACTGGCAGCTGAAGGACGAAATCTGACGCTCGGAGACTTAAGTGGCACACTGATCACTACCAGTCGTACTGCTGTATTATGATCTTTCTCTGCTGCGCCTCAGGTCTCTTGTCCCTGACTGTCCCCATTTTCAAAACTGTGGCCACTGAGTAAGCTTAGCTCAGTAGCCATGCCTTAATTAAGCACTCAAAGATTTTGGTTTACCCGGCTCTCTAGCGTAGTTGGCTAAACCATATTGCGCCGTGACCGAGTGACGAACTCCTTGTGGTGCGGGTTCACTCCCGGGGGTAGTCAGAAAAGCCACATTTCTCCCAGATTTACGGTATTTACAATGGAATCAAGACCGAAACGTGCGATATCCATAATACCGAGCCTAAGGGTTAACAACTCATAGCTTCTGGATACTAAAACAAACAAACGATTTTGGTGTGAACCCCCCTCCCCCCTCCTCTTCTCTTCCCCCACCTCCTTTTTTTGGGCAGGAGCTCTTCCCTTTCCAAAAGCATTTGTAATTAAATAGCATACATCGTCTTTAGCACTTTGCCGAATATGTGTTGATAACCCTGAAACCGCGGAATATGGAATAATCTTTAACTGGTTTTGGAAGTGGGATTAGGTAGCTGTTTACCTGGGGTACTGAAGCTGTTCTAATTCCCCCAACACTTCAATGTGCTGGACCTCTACGACAAAATATAAATGGTCCCTTGAAATACACAGATTTTTATGGGGCACCTATGCTTGTGGGCAGCTGCCGTGGTTTAGCGGCTAGACGCTCTCCTTGGATCGGAAGGTTGTGGGTTCGAGTTCTGACTTTCTAAAAAAAAATGACCCTGGCTCCCAGGTTGACCCAGTCTTGAGTGGGTAACAAGAGCAGTCCAGGAAAGTAAAGGCGACCAGCGTGATGTTGAGCAGATCACCCGCCAAGTGCCGATTGGTCTATAAAATATAGGTCTAGTCTAAAAAGGGTCTTTTACTTATCTATGCTTGCCCCCCTCCCCCCTTCTCCCACCACCCACAGCGGGCCAATGTATTAAGACAAGACTGGTGTGATGCCTGCTAAACAGTTACAAACCATCAATAACATTTTATTTATCGAAACTAAAGTGGAGTAACATGGAGAACAATATATATCTTTAGACACTTCTTTTTTAATTTTTATTTTTTTATTTGACAAGGTTGACAGCAATCCAAAAGGAAAACAGTGTGTATCTCTGTCTGTCTATCTATCTGTTTCTCTCTCTCTCTCTCTCTCTCTCTCTCTCTCTCTCTCTCTCTCTCTCTCTCTCTCTCTCTCTTTTTTTTCTCTCTAAAAAAAAACAGCAATTTAATGTCATTACTCAATACATCTCGTTCGACATCAGCTTCATTATCCTAAAACTCTAAAAGTTTTCTATTATTCCAAGTTAAACATCACATACATAAATAAAGCTAACAAAAATCTGGTCAGAATTAACATCAATCGCTGTATCTGCCAGGAATGTAAGGATCTTGGTGAGCTGCTGTTGTCCTTAAATTATCTCCCTTCCGCTGGAAGACTCACCGTGGACATCATCAAAGCCAAGGGGCTTCTCCAGACAGATATTGTGGGAGGCTCAGGTGAGTTTTTCTAGACATTATTAAAGGTAATGGCGAGTTTCTCCAGACAGTGCTGGAGTGAGTTCTCCAGACAGTTATAGCTGGAGGCTTAAGTTAGTTTTTTTTTCCAGATATTAATGAAGGGTCAGGTGAGTTTCTGCAGACTTTTTAGAGATTAAAGGTGAATTTCTGCAGACATTATTGAAGCTTATGTGAATTTCTCAAAACTGTATTGAAGGCTCAGATGGGTTTCTTCTTTAAGGTCCAAGTGAGTTTCTCCGGACAATGTTGGGGTTTCATGTGAGTTTCTCCACACATTTTTGGAGACTAGTGGTGAGTTTGTGCAGACTGAACATTGGTGGATGAGAACGGGAGTTTCTACAGACAGACATTGTCAGAGTGAGTTTCTCCAGACATTATTTTTCTTTTTGTTCATTGTTCACTGACTGTAAACTCTGGTGGAAGGTTCTGGTTATTCGTCCCTTTGAACTTTGTTTTGTGCCAGCGCCTGAGTCTTGCACGTACATCCGTTTTACTAGCTTATCGGTGGATGTTCCTTGCCGCTCGGGCAGATGCATTCTGACTTTAAAAGAAGTCTCCAATTAGTTGACTCCTATAACCTGTTTGCTGGGGAGGCAGTGAGTCTGTTCTTGTACCTCCCCCCTCCCCCTTGGGGCCCGGACCCCACACGGCAAATATGTGCGTGTTAAGGCCTTATAATTAACACCTTAACGATAGTATCTGCTATGTATGGTTGTTGTGGTTGTTTATTAACGATTCATTCTGTTTTCAGATCCCTTTGTTCGAGTGACTCTTGTACACATGGAGAAACCAATCAAAACAAGGAAGACATCATGTAAAAAAAACACCATTGACCCAGTGTTTAATGAATCTGTTAGTTTCAACCTAACCCAGCAACAGGTGAGGAGAAACCCCGCATTTTTATATATTGAAAGAGAAAATAGAAGTGGTTGGGGGGGGGGGGGGGGAGGGGGTATCCTCTGTGGTAAATTAGTTTATACATTTATTCTGTAAAATTTCTGCTTTGATTTCTGTCCTCATTTGGTGAGTGCAGGTTTTGTTTTAAAGATCCCTGTAGATTGAAGGTGAAGCTACAGAGTTGATGCTTGCAAAGTTTTCTGATGGAACCAGTCACTCTGCGGAGAAGTTTTAGGATCTTCTCCATTTTTAACCCCCCCCCCCTTCCCCCCTTCCCTCTGGGACTGCAAGATTTGATAGGAAATTTCAAGAGAGTTCCCCAGAGAGTCTTATATTATAGAGGGGTTAGGGTTAGCGTTAGTTTCCTCTTCTTCTTTTTTTCCCAAAATAGATTTTCTGTATCTGCAATGCTGTCTCTAGTATGAAATTCACTGTCTTGTGTAATTCACTCAGCAGCCCATTAAATTCGGCTTGAACCGGTGACTTGAAAAGGGGCTTCTTGGGGTGGCGGCATTGGAGAGCCCTGAAAAGGATTAACAGTCTCCATGAATGTATACTAGTGGGTTAGAGTTAGGGTTAAATGCAGTAATGCTAACTGGTCAAGTAAATTCACGGCGAAGAAATGAAGTAAGAATACCGCTTCCAAACAGGGCACAGTGGTGGTGACAAACGAAGAAAAGTAACTCACACTGGACATGATGACTCAAAAAGTGATGAAACGTTTAAAATAACCAACACATGACACGCCTAGAATATAGAAGGGTGCTTTCTTATAAATCCTACCCCAAACAGAGGAAATCCACAGGACACGGGACAGTCTAATATTTCAGGGGGTGGTAGACAGGCTTCATGAAGTAGTGGGACCTAGGCTGCATGCAGTCGTGGGACCTAGGCTGCACTCTCTCGTGGGACGTAGGTGGGTTGGGGTTAGGGCCAGTTCTAGTGGTTTTGGGGTCTTAAAACGCATCTGAAAGCCGGGAAACTCAATCTAACCACCATCTAAAATGTGAAACTGTCCTGTGACGTCATCTGGGGTAGTATATTACGAAAGAACTTATAGGAGATATATTGTTTTAGGGTTAGTGTTAAATGAACACCGACTAACACTAATCCTCACCCTAACTCCCCTATACTATAGGACTGCCCAGGGAACATCCTAGAAATTGCCTACAAAATCTCAGAACCCCTGAGATGGGGTTAAAAAGCTGAAAAGAACCAAGGGTCATAAAAGATACTTCTGCTTGTACTTAGTTTTCGCCCGCTGATGGAGGTGGAAAGTTATTGTTGCTCGTCCGCTTCTGAACTTTGGTCTTGTTCCAAAGCGTGAGTTTTACTTGCACCTTCATTTTACAAATCTAATTTTTCTATATGCAGACTGTTGGTTTTTTGCCTCTCAGGCAGAGATATTCTGACTTTGAAGGAAACACCCTGAAAATGTCGCCTTTTATGAGATGCTTGTTGGCTACAATGGGTCTATTCTTTTTGTCCCTAAAGTGGAGCTTCAGGACCCCGTGAGAAAAATGATATACCACCCAGTGAAGTGAAGTCAATCCTCAATCCTCTTGCCTTTTAATAGTAATAAACACTTAAGCATTTAAATGAACACCTTAACCACTTGGTCATGAAAGACCCCCCCCCCTCTCTCCCCCCCCCCCCCCCCCCCCATCTCAGCCTATGTGTATTATCATACATTAAGTTCGTTTAGAAAAATGGAAAATTAGCATCAAGGGTTGGACTACAAATAATTATACAAAGACAAATAAATATATTGAAGACACCATCAGCTAATCAAGCAGAAGTAACACTAGAGACAAAAATAATTAAAGTAACAGATAATTTTACTTATTTAGATAGTAATTTTGATAATAAAGGAAATACAAAGAAAGAAATGGTAACAACATTGGCAAGGCATCAGCAGCTTTTAATAGCTTGAACAAAATGTGGAGCTTCTAAACTGTATAGTTTTAAAAACCAAGTTATGTATTTTCAGTTCTAATGTTATTTCAGTTTTAAAATAACTTAGTGAAAGTTAACAAACCACTAAAGATTTGAATGAAACTTAAGTACACTTGAAAATAATTGTCTGAGAAAAATGATGAAAATAAAATGGGATGAATTCAAAAGGAGTGAAGAAATAAGGTAAATGTCTGGGCAACCACTGGTATCAGTAGTTATAAGACAGAGAAGATTCTGATACATTGGAGAGATCCCGAGAAGAAACCAACAGAGAATCACCAAAGAGGCGTTGAAATAAGAAAGAAAAAGGGATTGAGGAGATGAGGATGCTCAAAAGAAACCCTAAGACGAACGTTGTTGAGAGAGGCCAAAGCTGCTGGACTGGATTCCATCAATGATATAGAACTGATTGTACAGGACAGAACAGGATGGAGGATGGAGGAATAGTAGCTATAAGTGTATGTTCTGTTCTCCAGGTAATTCCTAGAGTACCAATGGGATGACTGGGGCACACGTAAAAAGAAAGGACTGTCCTGGTGAAAACAGGACCTATGGTCACCCTAATGCTAATGCTGTCACTTTACTCTAATGCAATCAGTAATTAGTGTAATCCAATGCAATCAGTGTACTCCAGTATAGCCAGTGCACTCTGATGCAGTCAGTGATCAGTGCAGTCCAATGCAGTCAGTGTACTCCAGTAAAGCCAATGTACCCTTATGCAATAAGTGTGCTCTAATGCAGTAAGCTTATTCCAACGCAGTCAGTGTACTCCAGTAAAGACAGTGCACTCTGATGCAGTCAGTGATCAATGCAGTCCAATGCAGTCAATGTACTCCAGTAAAGACAGTGCACTCTGATGCAGTCAGTGATCAATGCAGTCCAATGCAGTCAGTGTACTCCAGTAAAGCCAATGTACCCTTATGCAATAAGTGTGCTCTAATGCAGTAAGCTTATTCCAACGCAGTCAGTGTACCCTAATTTAGACGTGAACCCAACAAGAGCAATTTCCCCAAACCCCATTTAGTTGTACAAAACAGTTATATAAGGGTATACTATGATCACAAAGCAGTTTGCTGCTGAGTGTGGGTGGGTAAGCTATAAACTACTGATCAATGCAAGAAAGTAACACCAATTATCTTTTATTATTTACAGCTTATCGGAGCCAGCATAGTCGTCAGCGTCTGGGACCACAACTCTAAGTCTAAGGATGACTTTGTAGGCCGGATAGTCATCGGCCACCACCACACAGGACCACAAGAGTTCCAGCACTGGGAACGTATGCTTCAGTCCCAAAGATCCCCAGTCGCCCAGTGGCATTCACTGAAATCCAGGGCAGAATGTGATCAGGTGTCTGTTGCTTCTATAGCTGTTCACTGAGCATCATATGTCATCTTGTTGACGGTTGAATCTCCGTGCTGGCAAGGCATGGCAACATATCAGTGTCCATAGGGCTTGAGAAAATCACAGATGTTGGTATTTTTCAATGCTGTTAGTGTTGTTATTTGTGTCTTGCTTGGTCAGTTCTTGCAAATGTCGGCTGGACATCCTAGTAACTCAAGAGCCATAAATCGGATGTCAAGTCAACTGGAATCACCCGGCTTTTTAGTTTGCTGATGGTTTGTTTTTGTTGGCAGTTTAGTGTGAGATCTGACCTTGTGATGCCTGAGATGTTAGTTCGTATTTTCTGAGCCGTTGTATATAGGGCTAGATATTAGTTTCTGAGCTAGAAGTATTTATAGGGTTCAGATGTTAGTATTTTCTGAGCTGTGAATATTTATAGGGTTCAGATGTTAGTATTTTCTGAACTTTTAATATTTATTGAGCTCAGATGTTAGTATTTTTTTAGCTTTATTTTGTGGCTTTATTTTCTTCCTGTCATGTTTTTCCAGTAACTCTTCAAGTCCCAGACAGATGTTGATAAGACTCAGATATTAGTATTCTCTGGGCTTTTAGTATTTAGAGAGCTCAAATTATAGTATTTTTGTATGGCTGTTAGTCCCTTTAGGGTATCATATTATTGCATGATTTCACTTTTCAATGCCAAGCTTGTTATGACATTACCCTGTTGCATCCCATTTGATAATTTAACCCATTCTGTAAAAGTTATTTGAATTGTTATGTGAATGATAGCATCCCATTGTGATAACATTATTTGTGTTAGAACATAGAGACTACAAATGTTGCATATGTCACAATATATAGGAGTTGCTATGGTTGCGTCTAGGTATGTTTGAAATGGTGACTAACCACTAGTGTTAATCATCATCTTCATAGTCCCATAGCACTGCATATCACTGGGTCACCAGTTGCTGTTGTCTGTCTGTCTGATCAATAATGCAATTGAATAATGACATTAAAAAAAATTAAATTAAATCATGAGATTTAATATATGATAAAATAACAACACTAAATAATGAGATTAAAAAATGGAATTAAATCTTGAGATTTATTTTGTGATTAAATAACAACACTAAATAATGAGATTAAATAATGGAATTAAATCAACAGATTTAATATATGATTAAATAACAACACTAAAAAATTAGATTAAAAATGGAATTAAATCATGAGATTTAATATACGATTAAATAACAACACTAAATAATGAGATTTAATAATGGAATTTTATCATAAAATTTATTATAAGAATAAATAATGACAATAAATAATGAGATTAAATGACATCAAATAATGTGAACACACACAAAAATGTATTGGCTGGCTTCATCATCATGTCTAATGAGGTGCATTACTACAGAGTTGACATAAACAATCCATTTGTGGGTTCCAGGGTCCTAATTATATGGGTGGGGGTAGCACGAAGGGGGGAGGGGGCGGGACACTCCCCCCCCCCCCACCCTCGATAAGCATATTATTTTTAAAAATCTCTGATTAAGATTTGCTGAAATTGGATGTCTTAGGTCAATAGGGGCAGATTTGGCAGCCTAGCAAATACTTTAGACATGCAGGGCTACTCTTAGCACAGTGAAAGTCATTGGTAACATTGTTCCTCATAAATGTGCGGCTCTGTGGCTCAAAGGTTAGCTAATATGGTTAACAATGTCATGATCCTTGAGTACTGAGGTTCGTTTCACACAGCAGAAAAAAAAAAAAGAAATCATGGTTCTCAGAGGATAATGGTATGAGAGTCATGCTGTTGAAGAGGTTCGGGCCTCACTACTTACTGTTCGGGAGTCCACATGGCGGAGTGGCTAGACCCTCACTGCGGATCGGAAGGTCGTGTGTTCGCTCCCTGGCAGAGCAGGACATTTTTTAAAAATGACCTTGGCTCCCAGGTCAATCCAGCCTTGAATGGGTACCCGGTGCAGTCCCGGGAAAGTAAAGGCGGCCGGCATGACCACATCACCTATCTTATGCCGATTGGTCTATAAAAATATAGGTCTAGCCCTATATGCCATGTACGCCCAAAGGCGTGGAAAAGGGTCCTTCACTTTGCTTACTTACTGTTCCCAGTGACAACGATTTTAGACCAGATATTCTTTAATGTGGAGACGGCACAGAATTTTGTATTATTTTTCTGTATAAATAAATCTATATATAATTGTTTTGGGAGGAACACTAATGATAGTAGGGTACTTCCAGGATTAATCAGGAACTTCTACACTCATCTTTAAAATAGCTTTTGGTATGTTATTTTGTGGTTTACAGCTAAGCTGCAATTTCTGAGTCTTTCGGCACAATGCATTTAATTTGAGCAAACCTTTAATTAGTTATTTTTCATGACATGTTTGTTGAGGGACAGTAATCTATACAGTGATTGTACCTATAACAATTAATGATTGCTGAAAACAACACTTCCATCTGCAGGCATTTCTTTTCATAGGAATAATCTGTTGCAAAAAACTCTGTCAGTAATCAAAGTACAGTGCAGTCTTCTTGAATGTCATACCTCTCTCCTTTAGGTGGTGTAATCAGTTTTATTTCTCTTCGTTTACTTTCCAACAGTCTTTCCTCATTTTCTCTAGCCTTCTGAACCCTTGAGGTTAATCGCTGCAGATGTCATTTGCGCCCATTTATCTCTGAGATTGCTTTCCTCTTTCTAATCAAAGATTAGTTGTAAGATTTCCTGAATGTAATCTCTCAGCTTTCTCTCAGCCCTGTGGTCTGTTCTTAGTCACCGTCAGACAGTTAAGAATTCATTTTCACATGCGAGATAGTTAGAACTGTCTGATGTGCGGCTTATCATTAACAGTTTTTCACTATAGGCTTCTTCACCAACACTTGCTCTGTTAATTTTTCATGTTTCAGGCACTGCCAAAGGTATCGAAAGCAATAATATACATATATATACTAAATTTTACCTGGTAAACATAGAAAGAAGTTCTAAATATTGGACACATAATACGGTGAACAAAAAAGAACTACAAATAAACTACAAAAAGTGGTCAAGTTTATCTTTTACAACAGCATGGACCTAAAGAGAAATCTCAAACAGTTGTCATGTTTGTCATGCGAACTAAATGGAGCTATCAAAAAGGTTCTTCTATAGTATTTTATTATGAGAACTGTAAGGAACTAGAGAGAAAATCTAAAAAATGGCTATGATTGCTTAAACAAAAATAAAAATATAAAAACAATTGGAAAAAAACAAGTGTTTAAAAGTGATAGTGTTGATTTAATTTCACTGTTTAATTCCATATGGTGCAGTCTCTCTTCCCAGAGTGGCTGCTTGCCAAGAGAATGCTACACAAAGCACATCACTCTGTAGTAACAACCCCCAAGAATGTCCAAAACACTGGCATTCATAAATTGAGGCATAGAGTCCAAAGTCGAATAAACAACCTTTAGAGCTAAGGTAATTTACAAAACCACTTCATTACAAAGAAATGCATGAAATAGGAAAGAAAAAAAAAACTCAAACCAATAATTCAGTTATTACTTCCCTTTTCAGTATGACATTTTTCGTTATTTGAAGCCCTACTCTGCCTCTTGCCAGGGGCCACAATATAGCCTAATGGCTGAACGCGGTTTCTGGGACCTCTCCACGGTGATCCTCATTCACATAGTGGCACATTGTGTTATTGGGTGTTTATCGCTTGTGTGATGTCCTGGTGGGGTAGAAAGTCAGTCAGTCAAACCAATAATCAATTTTTTCATGATAACTATGGAAATAAAGGTAAACTGCAAACAATGGTCATGTTTGTCATAACCATATTGAACTAAAATTAAACTCCAAATATTGGTCAAGTTTATCATGATAACCATAAGGAAATAAGTGTAAACTCCAAATATTGGTCGAGTTTATCATGATAACCATAAGGAACTAAGTGTAAACTCCAAATATTGGTCAAGTTTATCAAGATAACCATAAGGAACTAAGTGAAAACTGCAAATATTGGTCAAGTTTATCAAGATAACGACAAGGAACTAAGTGTAAACTCTAAAACTTCTAAATTTATCACGATCAGTCATGTAATGATAAAAATGTCTCATGTATAGTCAAGAAAAGAACAAAATCTAAGATTAGTGAAGATTAGATGTTTCTGTTTCTAGTGGTGAAAAACAAAGACAAGCATCTAAGTTGTGCATGGTTGGGGTGGGGGGGGGGGATATGATATACACACACTGCTATGTATGAAGCATGTTGTGTGTAGGCCCGTCAGCATCTCTCTGCAAAGTCCTATGTGGGATTGGCAATCTCTGCCATATAGTCTGCATAAAACGTTGCTACTCTGTAATACTGAGGGTGGTTTTTCTCTCAGATGTCTCCTCTGTACAGCTTGCTGCATTAGGCCTGTTGCGAAGTGCGACAGTATGTCTTTTACTATCTGCCTCCATTGGAGTCAGTTTAAAAAAAAAAAAAAGGTAAAGTTGGGAGATGTGAAGCACCGTCATTGCACACGGTTATAAACTATAAGTGCTCTGTTAACAGTACGGACAGCTGATAAGAATTGTCCGCCTGTGTCGCCGTTCGCACGTAACTCTGTAGCTACAGCGACGTTTCTCCATTTATCCCACAGTGTTACTCATTTACTAGAGGCTGGGTATACCCCGGGAGCCGCCCGGTTTCGAACACCGACCGTGGCTGCAGCGAGTCGCAGCTGGATTTGAAAGCGAGCCTCGTATCGACTGCGTGCACGCGTCCCCTTGGAGTCAGTATGCAACTGTTCTTCCCCAGGTGCCTGTGTCAATGTTGGTCTCTTTCAGGTCGTTTTTCATGTCCTTGAAGCAAATTACATTTACGTCCTTTTTAGGACGAAATTTTTTGTTTTTTAAAGCCCCACCCTGGCTTTTGTCAGGGGCCGCAATATAGGCAGGCCATAAATATGGCCAATTGTCTAAACGCGGTTTCTTGGACCTCTCCACGGTGATCCTCATCCGCATAGTGGCACTTTGTGTCATCGGGTGTTTATCGC